TACCAGGTAGAGTATCGTTAGACATGGTATTAGACAGAGTTGTGTTTTGTCCAATTATATAAATAGGTTATCAGGTGAGTGACAATGGACACATTGAGCTATGGTATGTTCAAATATATAATTTGATTACCAGGTAGAGTGACAGCAGAGCATATAGTATGTACTCAGACATATACAACTATAGTGTGTTTAATTGTATAAGCTGCATAAAAAAGTGCACTTCAATATATGCAAGTGTGTTGGGTTTATGTAGATAAGAGGTGTGTTGGGTTTGTGCATAAATTCATATATGTATAATATATATATATATATATTATATATGTTTATATGTATATATCTGTATATATCTGTATACATATATATACATGTATATACATTTATTTATATATATATATATATATATATATGTGTGTGTGTGTGTGTGTGTGTGTGTGTGTGTGTGTGTGTATCCAACTTGTATATATTTCATTTAAAAAGTATACCTGTGTATATTTCATTCACTTATATATATTTATTAAGAAAGATTACTTATATATATCTCATTCAAACAAGGTACCTAGACATATTTCATTCATTTACATATATTTCTTTATAAAGGGTATATCTGTATATGTTGGCAAGCACTTCTAGGGTTTTATGGTTTTCTGACAGTTCGTTTTTAATGCAACTCAGGGGATGGATATGATTGCTACATGAAGCCCTTCCGAACCATCGAGGACACATACGTCACCGCTGCGTTGCTAGGTTACCACATGAGCCTTTCGCTGGATCTGAATTTGCCTTCAGGGTAGGTAGGCGATCTTGCGCGCCAGTTCAAATTTAGCGAAAGCACTACATATGGATGAGATCACTCCTCAATCCACATCCCAATGTGCGTTATGGTACGTTATAATGTATATTCATATGATAGCGTATGCTGTCACCTACTTACTATGCATATTTTTGTACTGTGTGCCTGTACATATTCTAGTAATGCGTACCTGTACATATCATTAGAATGTGTATTCATATGGTAACGTATGCTGTCACCTACTTCCTATGCATATTATTGTAATGTGTGCTTGTACATATTATTATAAAGTGTGCCTTTACAGGTTATTATAGTGTGTGTCTGTACACTTTATTATGTGTGCCTGTACATATCATTATAACGTATGCTATAATACAGACACACAGAGAGTTTGATGAACCAGATTCTGGCGCTCTCTGCCCTGTCGGAGCTTCCTCCGGCGGATGATGAGACGCACCTCGCACTTGGTATGTAGGACAACAGTGAGTACGTGTCAGTGGATACGGCACAACCCCGTTAAAAGAGCATGTATAAACCAGGGTTTTCCAACATGCTGTATAAACCAGGTTTTCCTATATGTATATAAGAGTTTTACTCGCCTGTTCTCGCCTTAGTTTGGAGTTGGATTGAGAAGGTCCGAGTTTGCATTCTATATTGAATATACCGCTCTAGTATGTGAACATGCCCGATGTCGATTTTGCACACCGTGACGGATTTCAGCTCCGCTCACACCCAAGCACTGTAAACCTGATTTGCGGTATTTTAACCCGGTTTACATTGTTTCAACCTGGTTTTTCTGTGGTTGAAACTCGTTTTCACTGCATCTTCCTCACCGGGTTCACTACTATACACACTGACAGCCGGTACACTGCGGCTGGTTGATTCGCTGCTGGATCCCACACACATCGCCGCCATTGGGCCCAGCACAATTGGTTCGGATGAATTCGCCAGGTGGAATGTAAGCACGTATCAATACACCACGAAGCATGCATCAATGTATCATCAAGCATGCATCGATACATCATCAAGCATACATTAATATGTCATAAAAAGAAGTCGTGTGGTTAGTAATACGATGTATGATACTTCACAAGATCTGTTAGTATTCTCGATTCGATAAGATATGTATTTTGTATTCAGAAGATTTGTTGTTTTAAAGGTCTGGTAGTGTTATCATAAGACAGTCATGCTGTGTTTATTAGATATCGACCATTTTTCTTTGTGTCTGGTTCAGCACTTGCTTCACGGCATACCCCATACGCGTCAGTACCCTATCTTTCTACTGACCAAGATCCACCGTGGTCCGTACTCGGGTGGTTACAGCTCAGTACCACACTTCCTTCCATAGGGTTTAAGGTTTTCCTAAATGTCTCTACCGTCCCCCACCATACAGAGAGACGCTAAGCTGCTGACAGTGGCGAACAGTATAAGGGAAGCGCGAACGAAGCGTGCGTGGCAGAACATCAACCGCAGAGACGACCCCACAGTCTAATTGGGACATGACCCGATTATTGATCCCAATAAAAAACTAAACCCATTTCCAATTCAGTGATAATAGATAAGGATTTAAATTGGCCTCGTCCAAAGAGTCGTACGTCAATAATTATAGCCTTCTTGTTCTTCAAGAGGCAAAGCATCAATATAATAATAGTAAATTCAAATTCTCCTCGTCGGAAAAGCCGTACTTCATGCTCTATCCTACTTTATTCCGTTCAATGTCGACGCGGCCGATTTATTTGCGGAGGGGGCTTAAAACTAGCTGAGTTAAATAGGGTTAAATCTACCACTGAATATGCCTACGTAGGTATTTTAACACATTGGTAGGTATCAAATATTAAAACTTGGTCGTTTGAATGATAACTATCGAGTGCGAGTGTGGATGAGACCTTGTCGTTCCATATCCATGTCTATAATTTAAATTGGGTAGGTATAAACAAACTAAAAGGTATCATGCCTTCGATTTAAATCGGGTACCTATAAACAAAATAAAAGGTATCATATCTACGATTTTAATCGAGTAGGTACAAACAAATTAAAAAGTAACAAATGTTAAAAATGAATGACAACAATCGGGTATTTCTGCGAATCGATTCGGGTAGGTGTTATCCAATTAGCCTAAATATCAACTGAATTCGGGTAGGTGTTCTCCAACTAGTGCATAAATATACAACTGTTCAAAGTTTTGGGGTTCGGAAATGGATCCTCCAACTCTGCAACTAGAGAGCACACAACCGTTGTGACGCCATGAGACAACTCAGTTTCGTCAGTTTATTCCTTCCGACTCTCCTACAACGCCACACCCATTGCGTTAGAACGCATCGAGGCTAAATCAAAGCACACTCTCAATAACCTATGAGCACTCCCGGCACTTCAAATAACATGTCCGCTACACACCCTTAACGGTTATATGTACAAAGACTTTATCAACGGTTATATGTACCTATATCCCCCCATAGAATACGTAGTGCTCTATACCATGGCGTACAAAAGACTTTAGCAACGTCCTTGTCTCCGTACTTAAAGATATGCGTCCGTATTCGCTACGGTGGCCGTCGTATACTATGACCAGACGGGAATCCAATTTTTAAATTGACCGAGTGTCAGTTCTCCGGTGGTCGGACTGTCCGATGATCTCGAGTGCCAGGCTAGACGATCATACTAAAATACTTGGACTTAGTTCCACAGTTTTCTTTGCATTGAGCGCTGGATGGCAGCAAGCTTATCGACCTGTGTATTGCGATGGGTATAGAGATGTGGTTTGAGGTCGAGATAGATATTCACTTGAGTAGAAGTTTAATTATAGTACATGTCTGTCTGCATATAGATGCTTGCATATAATACAACGTTTTTCAAGATTCTCATTCGAGTAGAAGTTTAATTATGGTAAATTTTTGCCTGCATACGGATGATTGCATACATTACTGCGTTTATAAATACGTATGAAAGCGGGCACAGGCAAATATATGCTATGAGAGGGGATTATGCCGACGTACGTATGTGCACAAGCGAAGGACGTTTACGCCATATTACATAATGATACAAACTTCAAAGAACCATCTCCAGACACATCCACGTAAGCATGCACACATGCGAAGGATACACGCTACGATACACCATACTACACTAAATTACGTTATTTCACGCTACATTGCGCTATAATGAACCATAGCACAACCGAAGGATACACGCTATACTACACCATATTACAATAAAATACACTTAACTACACTAAACTACGTTATAGTACGCTACATTGCGCTATACTATACGGTGGCACTATATCACAAACACAACGACATAAATAATAAGCGCAAGCAAAGCGCATAAACAATCCGACACGACACACCGTTATATTTAACTATGTGTGACAGCATACTACACGAACTACATCGAACCCTCACCACACACACCTGTCGTAAGTAGTACTGGCCAAATCGACGCTCTATCTTCGTATCGGCTATGTGGATCATGTCCGCGTCCAAGTAGAAGTCCACGTCACTGCCGCTTGTTCGCTCGCCCGTCAGAGGCGACCCCTCTGACCAACTCACTGAGCTGAGCTTGTGCTTGTACAGGAAGAGATATGTGCGGAAGGTTTCTTCGTCGGTTTGGATGAATGTGGCTAGTTTGCTGTAGGGGTTATGAACAAGGTAATATTAAGATTATGAAGACATGCTAGTGATATCGTTATAGCGGAGAAAAGAATTTAAGGGTATTAGGACATATTGATTACAGCGTTTACGCGTGTACAATAGGTAGGTGTGATATGTGAAGACATGCTGGTGACAACGTTATGGCGGAGAAAAGAAATTAAAGATTATTGGGACATACTAATTACAGCGTTATTGTCGATAAATAAATTTGAGACTGATAGAATATGTTGGTTACATCGTTGTAGCGAAGAAACGAATATAAGATTATTAGGACATATTGATTAAAGCGTTTACGCGTGTACAAGAATAGGTGTGTGAGATATGTTTTTCGTTGGCTGAGATGAAAGCGGCCAGTTTGCAGGCGGTTTTGAAAAGGAGTATAGCAATTTCATAGCGCACACAATTGTGAGCTGAGTCTGTGTGAGTGCATGTATAGGTGTATGTGAATGACATCATATTCATATGTATGAGCTAAGGTGTGGTAATGTCACACACATAACAAACAATCCCACTGGCCACAGTTACCTGATAGGCATAGTAGTGTAGTATATACATTCGTAAGAGCTATAGTGTAGTAATGTCACACAAACATAACAAACAATCCCACTAGCCACAGTTACCTGATAGGCATAGTAGTGTAGTATATACATTCGTAAGAGCTAGTGTAGTAAAGTCACACATACATACCAAACAATCCCACTAGCCACAGTTACCTGATAGGCATAGTAGTGTGATATATCCGTTTGTACGAGATATAGTGTAGTAATGTCACACACACATAACAAACAATCCCACTAGCCATAGTTACCTGATAGGCATAGTAGTGTAGAGCTTGAGGTATGAGCGGATTGTGGGGACGTCCACCTGTTGTCCGACATCAGCCAGGAACAGCTTCATCTGCTTTGCTTGGGCAGCCAAGGCGTAGTCTTGCACTGGGTGACAGAATAAGCAATCGATGACAAAATAAGCTACAGGTGGCAGAATGAGCAATCGATGACAGAAGAAGTAATAGATGACTGAATAAGCAATCGATGACAAAATAAGCAACAAGTGGCAGAATGAGCAATCGATGACAGAATTAATAGGTGACTGAATAAGCAATCGATGACGAAATAAGCAACAAGTGGCAGAATGAGCAATCGATGATAGAAAAAGTAATAGGTGACTAAATAAGCAATCGAAGACGAAATAAGCAATAGGTGACAGAATAAGCAATAGGTGACAGAAAAAGCAATCGAAGACGAAATAACAGTTGATTTTTCGGTGATCATATGGCAATTCTCTCGAGTGCGCGAAGGGTCTATCTTGCGCTACGTTACAAACTGAGCAATCAACGAGAACACAAGGAATTGAATACTCCCTATGCCATGTGTGCCTATGAACAGAATCAAGACGTCACCTTACACCATGTGCCTCCACAACCAAAAAGATGATACACACACCGCCCCCACGCTACACCACACGAGAATCAATACATCCACCACAGCCAACCGTACCTGTTCCATCCGCGGGAGGACCGACTGGGGTCACAAACTTGGGCGAGCAGAACATAAACAACTCCTTAAAGCCCTCGAGAGCATCCTCTCCCCGCTGGATCCTCTGCATCTTATCACCGAACTTCTCTCTCAGTTGTTGGTCCAAGTTGTCGTCCAGACGTGTGGGTGACAGCGACACAGCAATAGCCAGCATGGCGTACATCTGCTCATTCTTCTTCTGGATGTCTTCGTACTGTTGAGAAGAGGTTTGTATATGGGATAGAGAGTTTAGGATACAATTGGATATGGAAAGTGTGTGAGAGTGGGTATACATGCATATATACATATAGATGTTGAGTGAAGTGAGTGTGTTGTAGGCAATGGCCAGCATGGCATACACCTGTTCATTCTTCTTTGTCTGTGTACTGTTTATGGGGCATTAGTATATATAAATGTGTATAAGTGATTGGCTAAACAAATGTTGAATGATAGTATATATATTTATATATATATTCGTGCACACACACATGTAAATACTTATCCACACACCCACGCATACCTGGTACGAGTGCGCATTGAACTGCTTGGTGCGGTGGATGTAGGTAAGGATACTCGACAACACACGGATGGTGTCCTTGTTTCTTCGCATCATCATGTACGCAAAGGCCACATAGTAATACGTGGTGGTCTGGCACGCAGGCACGCCCATGATACCCTTCTTGTTAAGCTCTACATGCTCCAACACCTTAAGCGAGGTGTAGTAGTCTCCCAGGATGCAGTGCACCCGACACAGACCAATGAGCGAGAAGTAGCCCAGCTGGCGGTACAGTTGGTGCCCGCCGTAAATGCCTGCGAGTGGGTGAGTGGGATGAAGTGGGGTGTATTGGAGACGGGAGATGGGTCTATAAATGGGAGTATGGAAAATGTGGAGTGTGTTTGAGACGGAAGATAGGTCTTGAAGTATCAGAGACTCTGGAATTGGGTTAAGAGATAGCTTAAGATTCGGCAAGTAGTGGATGACGAGGAAAGTGATCTGTTATTGAATCAAGGTGTTTGAATTGAAAAGCTTAGAACGCGTTTGTAACCTACATACAAAATACCTACTACAAAGCAGTACAACCAACGTGATATGCACAGGAGATCCCATAGGAACATAGGCGATCAACAGACAAAGTGCACGAACAAAGGATAATGAACCCGCACAAACAGAATAGTACCCCAGAGCATATACTGTGCATACATACATTTACACACATACACATATATATAGTTAAGTGTGGAACTGTATGCTCTAAGGGCAATTACATTTGCGGTTGAACATGTATGTACATGTACGCACAAATACGCACATTTATGGACTAAAACCCATGGACGGTATGTATTATACATCGAACTTACCAGACACGAGGGCTGGGTCGGACCCATTCTTGAAGGCAATGAGCTGGTCATTGATCTTGGATTGCTCCACCACAGAGTAGAGGATCTTCAACACACTCTGGACATCCCAGATGTGGGGGTTGTTGTTGATATGTTCTACATCCTGTGAGGGTAAACAAGCGGTTATTAGTAAGAAGAAAGGATAGGTGTTATTAGTGAGAAAGGATAGGTGGTTATTAGTAACAAGAATGGATGAGTGGTTCCCGATATATATAATAACATCTTAAAATACAATGTAAAACATATATGGAATATCTGATAAGTTTAAAGAATAAAAAAAGAACCAAGACACAGATTTAGGTGGCCGTCTATTTATAGAATTGATAAACAAGACTTGTGGTCAGCCAACACTGCGCCACAGGGACAGCACGAGTGTCTGACTACTCGGATTGAATGTACAGAAAAAAGTATATGAAACTGATCAACCCAGAATACGTCTACAACAGAAATTATTTTGAAAAGACAACTGATTTTGAATTCGACAATGCGTATGCAAATGCATATACATGCTGGGCTACTCATTTAGATTCGCATATGTATGATTGTATCTATAGGTATATAAACATATAAACACATCCATATATATATTGTATATATATGTGCGAGTGTATATATATATATATATATATGGCCGTATCGTGTGTATTTACCTGCATGGAACGGCCCTTGTGCACCGACTTAAACTGGCAGTAGGCTTGGAACTGGTAGATGAACTCATCAATGATATCCCACAGCCATGGGGTGGGCATCTCAAGGTCGACGGGTCCCTCTGGGTTGAGGATATAGTTGAACAGATCGCAGTAATTCTCAAACGACTCGAACCTGCGATGAGAATGTACAGCGGCAGACAATCAGGACGATTCGCCATTTTCATTGGTTTAAATACCTGTATTCGGGCGCATCTCGTGATTAACTGGATTCTCATTGGCTTAAATGTTCGAACACGTGTACACACTTCTATTTCGCGTCTAGACACATACACAACACTTTATAGTATTTCAGATATAGATACTTGCCAGTCGAGGCATACCCTCGAGCTGTAAGCAAGCATTTAATACGTTAAGCAAGCTATCAATACGTGTGCGTGCATTACATATTTTCAATATAAAGCCACGTGCGCACACCGCGTCCTGTTGCAGATATAAACTCATTGCAAGTCGAGTGTGCACACTCCTGAACTACAGTCAAGCTATCCACCGTAAACGTTCATACACAACGCCTTGTTCAGAATTTAGAGATACATACAAGTCAAATGCACATACCGCTGCTCGAGGGTTGGGTTGAGCTTGGCGTATATGTGGCGGTAGTACAACTCCTTGTACAGGTACAGGAACACCTCATTGCCGTTCACCAACTGGGAGATGGTATCTGTGTGGATTGAGTTCAGAGGAGGATTGAGTATGTATACAAATAAGTAGACTATGTACAACCGTGATAATGCTACACAAGAATAGCATATGATCGCTCACAGTATATTTTGCCGCAGATGTGCTTTTGCGCATTCTAGGGGATAGTATCCATGAACATCGGATGTGTATGTCAGGTGCTATATCTAGAATATACGGATACTCCGTATGTGTAAGGGACTATGTAATACATACAAAACAAATTGGTACATATACACGTACAGAGATGTATATGCATGCATACGTTAGCATATATACTTGTCCTGCCCTAACACCCGCTATAGAGAGATGACTACAATAAATATGGGAACGAGCCTCGCGAAGGTCATACGCACACAACTTCGGTATACGCATAAATCATGGAATACAAACTCAATATCTAATACGCTATACTTATATAAACACACGCGAAACACACACACACATATATATATATATATATATATATGAGTGTATGTGTGATACAAGCATATATCCGTTACATCAATAGTGTCAGATTTTCAAGTGTCTTACTACAGTGCGAGAGCTTGGATGTAGCGTGTTTGAAAGAACCTACGCAATTTGAGACAATGCTCAATCACATTAGCGCAAGTACAAAGACTGAGTGAGGGTACAAGTTGCTGGGAAGCTTCTGCTAATAAGAACCACCACCGCAGAACTATGTATTCAACGTAATAAATATATATGCAAAGCGACTACGGCGTGCAAATCAGTTCACGGCACCTCTATGAGTATAAGCAAATATGTCCCCATGTAATACACAAAAAATCCAACCATACGAGAAGATATATACCTGAATACATACATAAATACATAAACACATACATACATACATATATTATATATAAATATGTGTGTGTGTGTCTGTCTGTGTGCATGTATATGTGTGTATATGTGAAAGTGTCGGTGTAATAATATATATATATATATATATATATATAACATACATACCTATATATATAAAGACATACATACCTATATATATAAAGACATACATACATATACCTAAAAATACATACATACATACAACATATATAAATACACATACACACGTATATACATATATATATATATATATATGGATAAATATATGCCATATATATATGTGTGTGTGGGTGGGTGTGAGTGTGTGTACATGTATGTATATACATATACATAGACATAGACGTATATGTTTAAATTTATAAAAATAACACACACACAATATATATATATATATATAAATATATAAATACACACACA